AGAATGAACCAACTCAGGTGTACGCGTTAGTGATTATTGTTAGGCAGTTAAATAGAAATGAGCACTGGGCAAGGGGAGAGGAATGGGGAGGGAGCAACCCAGAAGGTAAGGGTACTCCTGCGCTCACGGTAAGTCCGTCTCTAAACGAGGGCCAACAAAGAAGCCGGTTAGGATTGAACGCTGCGGCTGTGCAGTGGAGAGACGCACTCAGCTTAACTTGACCCAATGCTCATTACAACGTAATTAGCATTGCAGTTTGCGTTCCTTCCCATAGGGTTTTCTGCATCAGGGTAAGAGCATGCACAAAGGAGACTGGCATGCCTGAGCACTCAAGGGATGTGAGCTGTCCATCATGAGAACGCCCCTAAGCCAGGATATAAGCCAAGAGAAACAAAAGAGCAGCACCACTTTCCTCTCTTGGGTTGGCCTGCCTTCAGTTCTTGGAAGGGCACTCTACTAATAACACTTTCTGCTAATAGCATGCTTTGTTTCCCTTTTAAATTCTTTTTCTTGGGTAAGACAAAGAACCAAGGCCGTTTTCCTCTCCTGGTGGTAACATTATTTCTTCTTAATATTACCTATTATTTATATTTATTATTGCTATTATTATTAACTTATTGTTAACTATTATCATCCTATTATTTCTTATTATCTATATATTCTTTTTTAAATGTTTTTTCCTTTTTTTTTTTTTTATTGAGGGGGAGGTTACTGGGTTTATTTACTTATATTTGGAGGAGGTACCAGGGATTGAACCCAGGACCTCGTGCATGCTAAGCACGCACTCTACCACTTGAGCCACACCCTCCCCACTCCATGTATTCTTAGATAGGGAGCAATGCAGGTAGCTGGGGCGTCACGACCGCTGGCTTCAACCCAAGGCCTTGGGTACATCAGAACAGTGTTTTGGGAAATACTGCTGAAACGTCTGCCTCTGGCAGACGTAGCAGCAGAGGGGGAAGCTTCCTACTAGGGGCTTGTCTACTCAGCAGCCTCGAAACATTCATGAGGAATCTCCAGGGTTCTCCTGGATGCTCTTTGACCAAAAACTGCTATACAATTTACAGCTTATAGAACTTGAGTGGCAACGTAAGAACTACTGATTCTACTAGGGGAAAATAAAGATATATTGTCCCAACTAAACAGGCTAACATAGCTTGATACATTTCACACCAATCAATTTATATCATGCTGCAGGGAACCTAAAATTGGTTTCTCAGGCAAGTGATCACCACCAAGCAGTTTCAATTAAACAAGATGGACAGCCATCTATGCCAACAACAAAATGATAAGTGAGATGAGTTTCAGGTCCACAAGGGAAGAAAGAGGAGAAAACAGTACATTCCTTACCAGACTCACTTTGTGTGTTTACTGGTAATATTTTGGTAGGGAAACCCAGTGCCCAGTTTATAAATTATATTTACTTAGGGAACTCTAGGAGTTTTCTAACATAGTTTTCTGTATGAATATACCTATAAACATTTTCTCACTTTTAATACTCCAAACAAGTTATAGGATTTATATTTACATCTGTTCTTATCAATATGTATACTAATGATTTATAGAGTTAAATACAGATTTGATCGCAAAAGATTAACTGACTTCAGAGTCAACTCAGTCCTTTTGTTAAAATTCTCTCATAGAGCTTCCAAATCTTCTCCAGGTAATTTGTTTCAGTCTTGAGAGCACACCTTACAAGCCCAAAGCACTGGCATAAGTATACCAGAGGAGAGAGGATGGGGGAGCAAGGGGATCATTACATCTTGTCTGTCAATGCTTTTAAGGCTCTGCAAGTAATTGTCTTCATTGAGATAGGGTAAAATTTTTCTCCAAAAGAAGTCAGATTAGGTGAGTTCCTGGAATTTGAACATTAATATTCTCTAATCCTCATTTCTACTTTTTGTAACCCAAAGCCAAACTAAGGAGAAGAGGTAATAAATAATATAGTTGGCCCTTGACTTATGAGTTTTGGTTGAAGGTCTGGATGACCAGTCCCCCTACCCTGTTTCTCCCCGTGTTTCCTGTCTGTTCTCCCTTTAAGGTTTGTATGGCAGACAGACGCTATGATAACTGAATGGTTGGAGAAATAGTGTCAGATGGTATTTAATAGTGGTAATGGAGAAAGAAAACAACTGCTACATGAACTTTGTCAAAAGACAATGAAGTCAACTTAATAAGAATAACATTTAAAGGCATGAGAGGACACAGTAACCCTTGAAAGACCTTAAAAAATTATCTGATGGCAAGGAAAATAAAGTAATAAAAGAGTAAATCACAAGAAATGAGATTTCTTGAGACAACAAGCCAAGGTGAAGGTATTACACAAATGTGAGTTACTCTTATCCTTCCAGCGTGGAGCATAATGGGAAGAAAAGGAGTAATCTATAAAGTAATGAATTCAAAGTCAGAAAACTTTGCTTCCACTCCTGGCTCTAACACTCAACAACTGATTAATACTGGTGAAGTGACCTCACTTCACTAGTCCTCAATTTGCTCATCTGTGAAGTGGTGCTAACACTTGCCTGACCACCTCCCAAGACTGTTTGTTCATAAAGAACAACAACAAAAAACAGAAAGCAGGGAGCGTCCTTGGAACATTGTACAATGTTATGCAACTGTTAGCTGTTTACTATAATTATTCTCTGAAGTGCCAGCAAGAGTGTATTAGCCCCAGTAACCAATGGAATTTCCAGTGGTACTGGGAAGAGTTGCCTAGCAAAACGCTTTTGACTCTTGTGAAACAAAACAGTGATGCCATTTTTATAAACCAGGTTATAAAACTAACTATGCTGAAAATGTAAATAAACTTCTACAAATAAATATTAATGGAAATGGACTCAGACTCAAGAGGAGGTTATCCCCAAGTGGCAGGATTTATTTATCTTCTGTCAGTTGGAAGAATATCGGGGAGCAAGACGGTAAGTGGAAAGAGAAAGAAGTAGGGAACAAAATAAATTTGGGGTCAGTGCCACCTCCTTAACTAAGTGGGAAAATTAACTCCTCTGACCTTTTATTTTTCTCTCCTGTGAAATGAGTAAAATAATGACTACCATATTATCTAACTTGCAGGTTCAGACTAAGTTCAATCAGATAATATAAAGTGTCTAGTGCAGAGCCTGGTACATGGCAGGCGCTCAATAAATGTGACATCATTATCTCACTTTTCCCAGTTCCTTTCGCCTTTCATAGTCTGTATACTAGTTTACCTGTATTTCACCATTTCCTTTTTTTTTTTTCTTGGAGACTCTTTATCTTGTAGCCTCCCTGTATTTACCAGAGCAACCTGCACATAAGACTCCTTTAAAACGTTTATTTAAACTCTATCTTTTCTCCATTGTGTCCATCTGATTATAATAAAATCACTGATTCTTTATCTTGTGTTAAAATCATTTTATTGATCCTATAAAGATGTCCCATAAAATTTACCATGTAAGTACTTGGGACGCCTAACACAACTGCGGGTCCTAGAAGTAATTATAATATGGAGGAACACTGAGCCAAGGGGAAATAAAAAAGAAATGAAAACACAAATTTAAAGGGAACTCTAAATAGACATTAACCATTTTAAGATTTAATGATGCATATTGTAATATTTTAAATTTGTGTCTATAAATAATTTTCAGGATAGAAATTTATTTCTCATGATTAATTAAATAAATGTAATCATTTGTAATCTATTGAGGAAATCAGAGAGCCTTTCTAATTTTCTTACTTCATATATTTAGAGTACTACCAAAACAAAGTAATCAATGAAAAATATTACTCTTTATTTTTCTGGATGAAAAAGGATTAGCCCTAAACAACTGTGTCTGAAGGTTACCTGAAATTTATCAGTATGTTGTGTGTACACATGTGTTCTGGTATGAATATTACTCAACTTCTCTTTCTTCAGTAATTCCAGCCTTTCCCCTGCTTCTCCTTAAAAGGATGGTTGCCCTTCTTGGCATAATGAAATTTTATTTACCGATTTAAATGTAATTTCTTCTTGGAATTCTCACATTACTCATGGGCCCTCCCTAGCCACCCTAACACCAAGTAGAAATAATTTATCTTTCTCCTAAACATCACCACGTTTTGGTTATAGCATTATGTACCTTAGCAATTTAGGTCTATTCCTTTTACATGTTCTCAAGATACAGCACAGTGTCTGGAGTACAGTTGGCACTTGGTGTACGAATTTTCATTGAAGGTGTAGATAATTAATCCTCTCTTCCCTTTATTTCCTATTGATCCTTTCTCAAAGGTTGCAGTGAGGGACAGTGTGGCGCTATGTTAAGGGCTGGGGAAGTTGGTCAGATTTGGGGATGGTGTTGGAGGAAACAACCATTTTGCTTCCCCTTTCTTTCCTCCTTAGGTTGCATTGTATGTTTTTAATTGTATCACAGACATTTCCAATCCAATCTCAAGAACAATATTCTGTCAAATTATGTTAGAAAAGAATGAATTTGAAACAATTCTCAAACAATGGACAGAGTACTGTGCAACATCCTATGGTGACTTTCTCCAGCAAAATCTTGAGGCATTTCTTTAGCACTGTCTTTATCTTCCCATGGTGACTTATGAGGCAAGCTTAAGCAAATTTTATATTAAAGGTCAGAGACTCCGTAAGAGCCAGCCCAAATTTCGGGAAGTTGATAGGGTGATTAATTTCCAAAGTCCCTCATTTTCCAGCCCTTTAATTTGTGCAATCACATTGAATGTTCAAAGTATATACTGCTTTTTAAAGGCTTTCAAATATTCTGTGCACAGCCACAATTGGCAGTTCATAAAAGGAACTGATTAACATTTCCCACCGCAAGGATTCCCTGAAGTGAACTAAAAACAAAAACCGTATTTTTGTTTAAATCCAATTTGTTTACATTTCAACACACATAACTCCACTTAACTGGCCATCACAGCAAAAGCCACAACACACACACATAGCAGCAGCAGCATGGAGTTAACCACACAACTCAACAGACAATGCAGACAAACTTGAGTATAAACCAAGATTTTTCTACCTCTTTTCATAACAGGTTAGTGCTGGCCCTCAGTGTTGGTGTACAGTTTTTATGGCATGGGAAAATAGGGATGTTTCTGCCCTATAAAAATAAATGTGTTGAAGGCTTTAGTTTGAGCTTACACAATGTCAGAAAGTACCAGAGGCACTGGCATACCAAAAGAAAAAAAAGAAAAAAAGAAGAAAAAAAACCCCACAAACAAATAATTATCACTAAACACACAGCAAGATACTAAGAAAACACTGGTAGGGAAAATACTGGTTTCCCAGATGATTTATGCAATAGTTTTCAATATCATCCTGAAAAAATAAAGGTAAGAAAGGCATACTAATTGGACTTTGGTGGGGCATACATTGTCACTGACCCCATTCATACTGTCTGGCTTTAAATTGCTCAATAAATCATTTTCTCCTTGCAGAAGAAGAAAGCACAGAACCCTCATTGTTCTTAATCTTTTAAGCCTTAGTAAAAGCTAAGGGAAAGGGTACAGAAATGCATGCACCATCTTTAATAAATAAAAGGATATATGGAATAAAAATTAAAATATAAAGAATAGTTATTTCTTCATTTTATGTATCACAATACACACTTCTTTCCAAACATTAGTTTGATACATGAAGATCTTCATGTATGATATCTTTATCTAGTTTAGAAAGTGTTGGGACAGAAAGATAAGTAGGAAGCACGAAGTTCTGAATTTGAATAAAGGCAATACCTTCGCTGTTACATCAAAGGATGCAAGGTGGAAGATGGAGCTTTAAACTGGGAAAGTTTCTCAACTGGACTTAACGATTCCTCAAAAATTAAAACTTACCACATTCTGTGCAAAGTTTTCAAAAGATGTTCTGCGATCCATTGAGTATCCCGACTTACATGTATGGGGTCAGATGGGGCAAAGGGAAATAAGGAACATTAAAAAAAGAAAGAAAGAAAGGAAGGAAGGAAGAAAAAGAAAGGAAAATAGAGCAGAAAAAGACAGGATGATGAAATGATGAAATACCAAATCATGTTCTAAGTCACAGGGATCAGGAAGGCGGGAGAGCGGCCACAGAAGGCCTCTCGTCACAAGACACGAACTCTGTTTAAAGTAGCGTTTTTACTTTTAACACCAAAACTCTTCTTGTGCGAACAAAATGGTGTGATTTCAAGCAAAATCAAATTTCACTAAAATGAAGTAGCTATATTAAGGTTTTATGCTGACCTTTTCAAAACCTAAATATTTGAAAATCTAGTGGCTTACCTTCAGAATTCCTCATAATTGTCTATTGGGACTAGATTTCTGTTGATAATATTAATTCTGTAGGGTGTTGCTATCCAATAGAACTTTCTGAAAGCATGGAAGTTTCATTCTATACTGTCTAACGTTTCAAAATCCTTTTAGCTGTGGCCATCGAGTACTTGAAATTTGGTTAGGATCTTATAATCTTAATTAATTTAAATTTACATTTAAACAGCCCCACGTGGCTAGTGGCTGCTACACTGGACAGCCCAACTACAGAGTGTACGTTTCCAGTTGCAAAGTCAATGGACTTAAAAAAAATCCCATTAGCCTAAATGATGATCATAAACTACACAAAATTACAATTTCATCTCAGAATTTCAAGAAGCCATGGACTATTTTGACATTAAAAAGTAATGAATAAGGTTGATGTTCACATCCAGATTTTCCACTCCCTGAGATACTGATTATATAAGGTGTCACTGACAGTGAGACTTCGATTATAAACATCAAATGAACAATGTGGTTTATTGCAGCTCTTTCAAAATGTGCCTGGCTACCATCTTAGGTGGGAAACCTCATTGCAGGGGCACTAGCTGACTCAGGATGAATGCCAAATGACAACATCTGGGAGCAAACATTCCTGCATTTTGGCAACGATCATAGAAAAAAATGAGTCTATTTTTAGTTACGGGCATATGGCCCAAAACATACATGCTAGGTTACTGGGCAAAGAAAATTCTCTTTAAGTTGTTGATCTGATGACATTGTTCTTTCCCCTTCTTTACTGTCATTTTTTCATCTCCTTAAACTAGGCATATGGAGGACTAACATGAAACATAAAAACAGCTTCTAAAAAACGCTGTAAAGCATGAACATCTGCAGAAACAAACAACAAGAAAGAAAATAAGCAATCAACAAACAGAAACACATACAACTTAAATAGCCCTTATAAGATGCAAAGGGTTGGGGGGTGGTCTTGGAGTATGTCCACTTACCATTTGTCCAATATGGTGGGCCCATCAGAGGTAACTATTCCAAATAATTACAACTGAGAACTAGGTCAAAAAAGTTCACAAAGAACCAATACCTTTTTCTTTGCTTGTAGAAGCTCCTGATAGGCACTGGATCTTATAAAACGCGGATATGAGTCACTTTTCATCAGTTTGTAAATGTGCTCCTAAAAAGAAATAATGGTTGAGGTGCTTCTCTATTATTTCTCAGGAAAAGCCAAATACTGTGATAAGAATACAACATCTGGTTGAAAAATAAATCTGGAAGCAGCTAAAAATAATCATAATCATGCTGATGAGAATACCTTATATGCTTACAGAACACTTAGACCTCAAAATTTATTATTTTACTCAAGGATCACTGTTTAAACTGGTTTGGGAGCTATGGAGGAGGTAAATCACATCCAGTCCTCTGAAAACATGAAATTTAGTTAGCAGACGCTCATGAAGTCATTTCAAATCAAGCTGTTGATTTATATAAATCATTTGAGAATATAAATAAATCTGCAGTCTCTTAAAATTACTCCAGGCCAAAAGAGAATGATGTGAAGTCAAGATTCAGTAAGCATCCCAGATACCTTTGGCATCTATATGTGCTTGGAAGGGGCGGACTTCTCAGATCATCTCTTTGGGGAAAACTGTCGTCCACATCCACTTTAGGCCAGAGCACAAGCCCAAAAACAAATTTTGTGATATTAAAAGCCTCCCAATTTGCGTGCATTTTTTTTTTTTTTACTTATTCAGAGAGAGATTAGGTAAATATTTGAGAATTTAATCCTAATCAGTCTGCAATGTTCTGTTTTGGATGAATATTGGTAGACAAAGAAGTCAAAGGAAAAAATGTATTCATCCAATTCAGTGATGGCCCAGTCTAGGGAAATTCTGCTTTGGCCAACTGCATCTTAAGGGAGCATAGGGGTAAATGCTCCTTGTTCATTTTAGCTTGTTAGATGAAGAGTTTTGAACTGTTTGAGAGTATCCTGAATGTTCCAGTCTCTTCTCGTTTGGAGAAAATACATATTTAAAGAAATGACTCCGTTTCCCTGGTCTTAAACACATCAGCAATAATTTAAAGACATTCAGGGTTCAGCCTCAATATTTGGTCTAAGGTTCATCTCCAAAAGTATGGTGCATTTGGAACTGTTGTTGGAATTTGTTTTTTGGAAAAGTGGAGCAATGTCTTGTTTTGGAGTCAAGCATTTTGGGATTCAGTGCCTGTCTTGCTCAAGAGCTACCATTTACAAACATGTACATTTTGACCACTTTATTCATCTCTCTGAGCCTCAATTTTCTAATCTATAAAATCATGTTATTGTGAGGATTAGAAGAATGACAAATGTTTAGCAAAGCATGAAGGTATGAACAGTCAGTGCTCGATTACACCTGAGTACGTACCAGGTATACCGCTAAATGCCTGCCGATTAGTTAATTTCATCCTCACCAAGCCTCAACAAGGTTGGTAACCATTTTCATATCCGTTTTAAATATGAAAAAACTGAAGCATGAGGACGTGAAGTACTTGGCAACAGGTCACAGAACTCAGACTAGAACCCAGGCAGTCTGGCTCCACAATCTGCTTTATTATGACTTTGCATCTCTTCTTAAACTGTGGCAGGAACTTCTATTATTATATTTTTGAATATAGGGTTAAAAAACCCACAACAAAACCTGGAGTTAAATATCTGAAGTTAATTGCAAAAAGAAGCCTAGGGTCCAATGGTAACGCTTTCTATAGAAAATTACGTCTTTTCCCTTTAATGAAGAACTTTTAAGCAAGACTGCTTTTCAATGACACAGATAACAAAGATATGTTCTTTTTAAGATTTCAGGAAGGTCATTCCAAACATTTCACATGTGGTTGGCTCTAGAAAAATACTTCAAGTTTTATCTTGAACAGAAAGAAAGATAAATCAGCCAGGAAATAAGCAACAGAGCTAGAATTTTCATCCTGCCCTCTCTCATGTGTCTCTATAAAATGTCATTATTTCTACATAGAAGACCATGGCAAAGCCAGGGTGACTGGGTTTCCAGACAGCTGTTTCAACTTGTGTTAGTTTTCTGCACAGTGGCTCACTTCTTTTTTAAACCAAAGCCAAGGATAAAGGGGTTTTCTACCAAGAGCAAAAATGAGAAAGGAAATTTGTGTACCTTATTCTTCGTCTTCTATGTTTTATGTTAGCCAGCACATTATTTACAAAACAAGATACTTTCCAGAGCTAGCATTCTTCTCTAAGAGAGGCTTAAGGAATTATGAAGTATGCATGTTCTGGTTTAAAAGCCAATTTAAACACATTCATTAGGAAATAATATCCTCTCACTGTAAGTTTATTTTTCCTCTTGAGCATAGTATGTTTTTAGAGAAAGTGGAAATTCAAATTGTTTCTAAAGAGGCAATTACATCCAGTTTGAGGGGAAAAAAAAGCTTAAAAGTTTGTCTCAGGAAGTTAATATCTTAATACCAATTTCCTTTTTTTTGTAGACTAAAAAATTAACTTGGAAAAATTAATAAATGCCTAAATTTATTATGTCATTTTATCATCAGAGACAAAGCTGGTATGAGTTTTACATAATTTTAAGCTAATTTAGTGTAGTTCTGAATAGTCATAATAATAAATTAGTTAGAAATGTCAGAGTCTTAGAATCTCCATATTGGAAGACGACTTAAAGATTTCAACTATGTGTTACTGAGGTGAAAAACAGAGTAGAAAACAAAGTAAATGTTTTCAAATATTTCCCTTCAAGAAATTGTCACATAAAAACGTTCACATTTACAAAACATTCCTAGGTTTTAAAAACTCTTCGCTTTAAAGCATCCCAGTTCTTTTCTAGATCAATTAGCTATTTTACATACAGCTTCCTAGACGGAAATTATTAGGCACAGCTGCCAATTACAATGAAAATAAAACAAAAGTATCTCAACTGTCAACTTCTCAGGAGCACATCTGTGCCACAGTGTGAGGCTCATCCGTGTACCAACCTGAGCATCTTCGAATGTGTATCGTCCGGGCTCCTTCACATTCTGTGTGGTTTTGTCATAGCTCTTAGAATCCAAGTTAATGGCACTGGGGGCTCCTGGAGCTAGAAATTCTTGCCATATTTCCTGAACTCGAGAGGGGACTTCTCTAATAGGCCTTTTCTTCAGGTCCTCCACTGCTAGCCAGAATCTATGCAAAATGTGACACCAAGCATTTACTCTAATGCCTCAAAATCTGAAAATTCTTAAAATATCGACCTACCATACAATTCACAGTGAGATATCATAATAAACTCATTTTGTCTGAGGGCTTCCAATAACAGGCTTTTACTTTTTTTTTTTTATTAGTTGTACTCAAAGATATAACATTTTGGGAAAGGAAATACTGGAAACAATCTCTTTTGGGTCTTCTCTGTTAAAAGCAGCTCTTGCCAGGACACTAATTCTATACAACCTTAATTTTTACCGAAGCAAAGCAGCACTGCGCAAGAACCATTTATTAGAAAAGAAGAGAAGTTTAAAAAGAATTAGGATGAGGGACATGGACCAGCAGATTAGGGGGATCAAGTATTACAGCATACTCTGTTTTTTTGATCTTTCATCCATTTGAGCAACGAGGGTTGGTAAGGAGAGGGTTTTCTGCTTTACCTGGTAAGGGAATTACAGTGAAGCTTTGCTGGAACTAAAAGCCGCCTGGACACAAGACCAGAAAATGCCCTAGCTGGAGAAATGAGGGCAAGTAACTAATTTTAGGCTGTTTAATTCAGAGAGTTATGAAATGACAGAAGCAGCAACCTTTACATACAGCTGTCTGAAAGGCTAACATTTGCAGAGGCATTATAGTAACTCAGGGGCTCTGGAGAAAATAAAGATATACTGATTTACTTCTAAATACAAAAATATATTTTATACACTTCTGTAAAAAATAGAGTAACTGCTGAAAGAAAAGAACACCAGAACATGTTTTGGTTGATAAGAGCAAACAGCAAAGTCTAATAAGAAGCCACATTCTATGAATGGGTTTCATTTTTTAAATTTCCTTTTGCTCTGTGTTAGAGCTTTCTGGTTAGACCTAGAAACAGTGTTGAATAGATGAATATGTATATCATAATAATGTGGTAAATAAAAAAAAGTACTTGAGAAAGGAAGTACTAGAGCTACGTTATCCTCAGCGGGGGTCATTGTTGCTCTGATGGTAGATGTGATCATGAACTGGAGAAGATGACCACAGAGATGAAGGTCATTACAGGCTACAAGAGTCTTGAGAGAGGTAGGAAGGGGTTAGCAGCACCTTTGTAACTATTAGGGTTTATCTTAGGGACTAATGAAACCTCAGAAATAAGTAACTGTCAAATGTTACTCAATCTAGTGATCTCCCAGTTTCTAGACACCATTTTCCTACACACACAGATGTAACAGTCGATAATCCAGTTTGAACAATGCTTTAAACATGAAACTATCACTGTTGCTTTCAGAAGGGAAAGAGTAAGGCCATTTCCTATTAAAATACAGATTTTTGACACTGCAGTCTAACAGGGAGGCTATGTGCAATCTGAGGGAGCCGACTCATGCTCATTCAAGTTAATTTCGGCAAGCTGTGAACACCCTGATGAAAAGAATGTCTCTGTCCTGGACCTAGCAAAGATACACCATTCACACGGCCAGATACAAGGAAGCACGTGAGATTCTCAAGGAAGAGCACAAACCAGTCTGGGAAGGCAGAGCAGGAAGGAGGCCCTCTGCTGGCGCAAGTAATGGGCTGGAAAGGCAAGTTCTAGGAAAGTTGTGCAGACGGCAGTGACATCGTAAATAGACTTGAAAATACAGATGAAATATCAATGGGCTAAGGATGTAATAATAACTTACACTGGTCAGTAAGTGCAGGCACTGTTCTAAGTGACTTAGCTGTATTAATTCATGCAACCCCTACAACTCTGAGGATATGCACTATTATTTCCTCCACTTTAGAGAAGAGAAAACTAAAGATATGAAGAATAAGTCACTTATGTAAGTTGCCCACTGGGAGTGCCGTAGCTAGAGCATGCCCCTAGATCTGCAGCAGATGACACACTCAAGACCACTCTCTTGAATGCCTCCCCCAAAGCATCACTGCCTTTCTTACCCTCAGCATTGTTGTAATCATTGCAATAACTTAGCAGAACGTAACGGGCACTGGCTAACCCTTCTCCCCTTATTATATGGTAGCTAGAAGATGAGGAGTTGCCTTAATGTCTTTAAGCCTTGGTTTTTCCATCAGTAAAATGGAAATGATAATGCCTGTCTCATGGGGTTTCCATTAGATTCAAGGAGATAAATTACGTAAAGGGCACTTATGAGGTGCCTGACATCCCATCATGTTACATACACTCATCTCCCTACATTTACTTAGTTCTTATTCTGCTTTACCTGAAAAAAGAATGAACAAAAATACACCAAGGGAGAGCAGAAGCTCTGTTTAAGTAGTAAGTACTTCTCGATACGCAGCATTTCTTGACTATTTTTTCTGTCTCAGTACTTGAAGACAACACTCATACGAGCACCACACTTCCATAAGCAGCAGGTGCTTAGACGGCTGCTGCTTAGATAAGACACCTTGAGACTCACTTAGGTGCAAACAGCCCTGTTGGCTAGCCGGACTGTTCTGTCTCCCTCTGTTTGTGACACCAGATACCTAAGCAGAAGCAGGGTGTTCAGACTGCGGGAGCAGCGGGCAGTAGCTTAGTATTGGTTTACAGAGAGCCTAAGACGCCAGTTACTTGTAATCTGACTTGGAATAGACGCTTAACCTCTTCCAGCCATATTTTGCTTACCTGTAAAACGAGGCAAGAATATGTACACTTCAGTTTTAAGTGATGATTAGATGAATGATAATAAGAAATAATGAATACAAAATATAGCATGGCACCCTTACAAAAGTAGTGGATATAAAGCATATTATGGCACATAGTAGTGTTCAAGAATTGCATCGATATCTATCTATCCTTGGTAGGGAAACATTTAACAAGCTTATGGTAGATGCTCAAGAAATATGTATGTTGCTAGAGATGAAATATGTAATATGTCTTATATGTAATTACTTAGCAGGGAATCCAGGGTGGCACAGAGATAAGAAATGGTTACAATATGAACTAGGGAAATAGCAGTGATCCAATCCATTTATGAAACAGAGTTTGCACATGCTGTTCCTTTGGCCTCAAAGCTTCTTCCCTCTTCCGCTTTTGCCTGGTAACCTCCTTGTCATCCAGGTCTCAGTCTAGAAGGTATTTCCTTCAGGACGCCTTTACTGATTTTCACCGCTGGGTTTGCCATCCCTCTGCATTTCTCTGATCTAACATCCATCATTCGGCATCGTCACCTGTTTTCTTCCCTGTATTCACCACTAGGCTGTACCTTTCATAAGCTTGGGAAAGACTTCTGTTCAGCTGGGTGATACAGGTGAGGCATTGCTTATTTCTTTCTTCATCACGATATTCGTGATGCCAGCATTTTTTAAAAAAACTTAGAATTAGAGGAAACCAGATCCACTGAAAGGTTAAAAATAGACTTTATCTCTGCTTTATTTTTATGCATTCTTGTACTCAGTAATTAAGGATGTGATCTCAGGATAGCAAATGTTATTTAGTAGGTCCAATAAAAATCCTTAGCAACTGTCGACCTTGTGAAAGCCCTGTCAACAAGGGCTCTCGTAGACTTGAAAGAGAATAGAAGTTACACCCCAACTATCCACGAAAGGCATGCATATATAATTAAATTCCTTCAGATTCTGTCTGTGGTTATATTGCTTAATCCCTGGGACATCCGTCAGAATTCTACGTATTTCTGAACGGTTTGGTATTGGTATCTAATAAATCCCATAAGAAGAATGTGACAGTGCCTGGCACTACTTAGTTCCAGTGAAAATAAATGAATGCTGACACCTTTCTGTAAATGAATTTCACAGAACTGCGTAAGTCATGGGAAAGTAAATTAGGGTGTTATGTTTCAAGAGAATAATAAAGGAAAGAGCTTGTGGAAAAACCATTTTATGTAGTAGAAAGTTATCACTCACTTCAGGAATCTTAGAGCCATTAAAATCTATTCCAATGTCTCATAGTAAAAAATTCAATTTCCAGGTGCCTTCGTAGGTTAGAAAAACTTCAAAACTACGTAAGGAGAATGTTTACAACAGATGGTGGGACGCGCGCCCCTCCCGTGCGCACTAACAGCTCAAGGTGGTGCCGCTCTCAGCTGCTCTGAGGCTGTATTAAGTGTGCAAAGAAAACGAGCTGCCTCCGTAGTTTTGTTTCCAGTTATTTGATACAGGCACCCAATCTCTTTTTCTACATCTTCCTTGAGATGCAATATACAAAGAAGACCAATATTCATAAATAGGTGATATTTTAATTTAACTGCATAAATATTATTAATCATTCTCCACTTTGCCAAACACTAGTAAGTATTACACCTCTTTAAGGAGTCCATTTCAATGCATCAGATTTACAAAGTTAAAAGATCAGGAGACAGCGTAAAAGAAACCATGACAAGGAAGTGATAATGTTGGACAAAGAGCTTTGCCTTGTTATCTTTCCTTCCTCCATCAAGAGGCCGAATTCAATGGGTTCAAATCATCATCATGATGTTGGTGGGATAGTAACTGGTCTATTAAGTGCAGAATAACCAGATTCATCACGGGTAGGTCTTTCTTGCTTATAGTATAAGATTCAAACAACATGACTTACCTTAAGTTTTCTGAGCTGAATTCTGACTCTAGAAATTTAAGGAACTGTTCTCTCCCAACTGGGTCTTTCAATGCTTCATCCATGCCAAAGCCCCATCGTTTCACTCTCTGCTGGCTTGGTTCTTTGCTATAGAAGATATAAACAAAGCCATACATACTCCTTTCCTTACAAATTCTATCTTTTGCTATTATATTTCCCCTCAAAATCATATATGCTTTGAAGTTCCCATCTTTAATATATTTTTCTGAAAAAAATCTCGGATGGCGTTGCATGAAATTATGGTGCGATGAAACCTAGGCATTAATGATAAAGTCTAACGTTTATTTAGCATTAGATGCCAAGAGATGGATTCTCTCTTTTAGATTTTTTTCAGCAACTTTATAAGAGAGGTACTATTTTAATTCTTATTTTATAGATGGAAAAATTGAGGTGCAAAGAGGGTTACAACTTGCCAATGTCAAACAGGTAATATTCCAGACATTCTGACCCCAGAGCTCAATTTCTTAACTAGTATACAATGCAGTCTCATGGCAGGTTGTATGGGAAGAAAATGCATTGAGAACCAAAAGGCTTAAATCCTGGTTTACGACTCTGTTGCTGATTAAATGTGTGACTTAGTCCTGGCTGAGTCACAACATTTTGGGGTTCCAAACTCTATATCTATAAAATCTAGAACTTATGGGTAAAGAGTTCTGCACTCGTCAAGCATTTAAGAACCACTGGATGGACATAAAAAAGAAACGGTCCATAAATGCAATCTAGAAAAGTTCTACAGAACACTGAATCCTCACTCTGTAAAGGGGTATGCAGTGACCTTTCTATGACTCTGTCAAGACTGATAATATAATTCTTGCCATATATAGACAATGAAAAAAACCAAGGAGTCTTAAATTGTGCTTAGTTCTCTTAAGAAGTCAGTCTCTTGTCAGTTTCTCTTAAGAGTGTTTACAGTGGACTCATTTTGTTTAAAACTGAATTTATAAAGGCATACTTGTACTGGGCTTAAGAAAGTATGAATCTAGCATTCACTTTACTTGAACAGATGGACATTTGTGGCTATGTGGATTTTCAAAGAAGCTAAAAACAATGCGCTAAATTTTAAGAACTAAAGATTCTAACTCTGAAGAGTCTATCCTGAAACCCTTTGCACCTCTAATTCTGTGCCAGTCTTTCTGGAAATGCAAATCTTAATATAAATGCAAACAACTAAGTTCAAAAAACTTAACCCTGAACAAGAACTTTATATCATGGAGTAATGTAGACACAGGGCAAAGTTATTTTTATGATTAGTCAGCTATAGGATTCTTCCTAGTTTACTCAAACCCTGAAATAAGTGAAATATTTGGAAGGAAGAGAAAGCATCACTTACCTTGCTTCGAGTTCCCAGAAGGTAGTATCATCAGACAACCATGGGTTAGAAGGGTCAGGTGGTACAAGAAATGGGTCATATTCTACATACTGTTCCGTGTAACTTAGCAGACTGAGAGAAAAAAAAATATTGTCATTTTCCTTAGTTTTCTGGCTGAGGTTATATCTGATCTTTGTAAGGGACACAATATAAAAATGTCTGGCCAAGGAGTCCCTGCTTGCTTATAGAATGAAATCCAATGGCAGTTTTCATGTTTCAGTAACTTTCATGTATGAATACCTTATTGTGCTTCTTGGCAGACAAATGTGGCTAAGGAATCCATCTCTCCCCATGCCCAATATGAGTCAATGTCCCTCCATTAAAATGACACAGAATGGAAGAGGTCAGCGTGTAGAAGGCCGTGCTAAGGGCCAGTTCCAATCCTTGGTCAACAAGCCCACCCACAGTTGACCTGATTTTAGTTAGACTGGAGAAGAGGTTAAAACGAAATTTTTGTCAAAAATATTTATAGGAATTAGATAAAAGGGGAATGACTGACAACAAATTTTTGGAAAAAAATCTGTATTTAATGAATGAAAAAAGGGAGAGAGGAGAGAAAAAAAGCTGGAGAGGTAGGACCTGGCAACGCCCCAAAGTGAAGCACATAAATGCTTGAAGAATAGATTTAGAAGAAGAAAAGGAAAACAGATAAAATCCGAGTTTAATTCAAATTCTGAAGTCATAAAATCACCAAGCAGTGCGAATGTTAAGATGAATTTACAGAGAGCTTCAAAGCTGCCAAATCGAAAATTTCTTTTCTCAGCAGGAGTGAAAAGATTCAACTCCTTGGAATTATCTTCTGTATTCGATTCTGGTTGCCTGAAGATTGGACCTCCAGGGACTTAAGATAATGATAATGATCATTCTGTTATTTAAACTACAATAAAAGAGCTTTTTGAAAGTTTTCCATGTTCAAAAGGAAAAAGAAAGTAATATTTCTTATAGGGTTCCAATTATTTCTATCAACTCTCCTGCCTCCAGTTCTCTTACCATTTTGAACACATTTAATGGTCATCTGAAATTTTTAAAATTTATACGGGCATCTTGAAATACTTACCTATCAGCAACTTTTGACATTTTTAACCGATGTCTGTCTAACTGTATTTGCCAATATTTTATCTGAAAAAAAAGAAAAAAGAGTTAAAAGAAGTAGTTACATAAGTAGTGACATTCTCACGATTTTCAACTCTAAATTCTAAACAAGAATATGTTTTCAGTCCGTACAATTTCAAAGTCTATCCAAAAAGCAAATATGAGGGCTTTCAAAGAGTCAACGAAAAAATTTATAACCAATATTGCTTCCGAACAGCAATGAATTTGAACATTCTGCCCGCTTAACAAAATGTAACTTAATTTTAAAAGTGTTATATAGAAATTTTAAGCATTTATTCAAGGTGAGTAATCAAATCAGAATTGCATTTCTCCCTCAAACATTAAATTCAAAAAATAAATGTTTTTGTTATTTGTTACTAGAACGGCAAAACAAACTCTGCTTCATAATGCTAACCCAACAAAGCGTCAATGGTATGTGTCTTAAGAATAATTTCATCTACATTTCTGGACAAATTCTCATACAGACATAATCACCACTTTTCCTTCATGGTGATTATAAATACACTAGAAGAAGTATGTATTCCACAACTAACAAACCACAGTCCATTAAAATGTTAGGGGATAAAATGCAAAAGGGGAAAAAGTCCCATGACTTAACTAACCAAGAGATTTAACTATTATTTGACATAAGAGACACTTGGTGTTTACTTTGAAATATTACTTGGGGCCAAAGCTATCGATCAGTGGGTGAAACAAGAAGCAGTACATACCATGACAACTCATCAGTGCTAATAAGGGAAAAATTCAAAAGCTTATAGAGATCAGCACTGCAGAAACAAGATTAAGCATTCTTTGGCGAATATCATGTCACACGATTGGAGGTGGAAAACTCATTATTTAATGTCACCAACCTCGTGTCTTCACATTCTTTAAGACAGAGTTCTGGAGTACAAAATTCCTCATGATTGAGGCGCTTATGAATCAGTGCGTATGACTTAAAAACTGGTTAGAGGAAAAAGGATTTGGGGAATTAAAGAGTGAAACGTTTTGAAAACTACCTCCATATAGTGATACATTTTCAAGTGACGACATATCTTAAAAATTACCTTTTAACTGCAAATCTATAGGAAATAGTCAATCATACAAATCACTTTAAAAAATACCTGCTATTAACAGTCACCATTTGGTCTTCATACTTGCTACTCTGTAAGTTGTAAGGCTGACCCACCTGCTGTTGTAACTCATCTTCTGTTGGAGGTTTAGTTTCCGGTGTGGGTGTGTGGGTAGGGCTGTGACTTCTAATATCATTTTGTAAACCATAGACAGACTGCATTAAAATAAAAAAGAAATATATTAGGACAAAATACCATTTATAGTCACAGAGTTTCTAAAAGTAGTTTAATGTTATATATTCATTAAGGTAACTCAAAACGTTGCTGCATATTGGATTAAGCTTCTTATCAAAATTCAAAAGGCATTGCTATCATAAATGCCATATAAACAGAAGCACAGAGTTTTGGAAAAAATATGTGGTTAGATTAGTAACTAACAGAATAATTGATTACATGGAAAGAACTAGGTAAGTGTGATAAAAAGTGGGGGTAAGCTGAAAGTAATAAGTTGGGGAATAACAACACCACATAACATCTAATAAGTACTGATTTCACAGTGAAAGAGAGGGGGAGATAGTATAGAATAAAAATGTAATAAGCCAAAAAAGGAAAAAAAATACTCTGAGCTTTACCTAGGAAAGGACTGGAGTACTAAGGAGAGAGACTAGGTTAAGAATTCCATTGCTGATCTGGCCTCTGATGATGAGCAAAGACCCTCCATTGTGCTCCTACTTTCCCGTCGCAACACTGCGTTACTTCTCTCATAACACTAGTCTTGCCCTTTGATTCCACTGGGTGCCATTTGCAAACATCTGTGACCCCAGAGGTCTCACACGTTCTGGGATTCTCAGTGTCCCAGGGCTCCTTTACTATTTTGTCAAAAGGTCAAATCTACTATGTAGGAACGCTACTTTTTGAGAAAGACCCATTGCTTACTATGAATAAGAATCTGGGGACAAACATTCATCCACAACTGAAGTGAGACATCTCACATGTCAACTCAAGGGAGAGGCCAAATTACTGTTTCTTTAATATCAAAGTACTATTACTTCAAAATAAATAATTTAATGTTAGCTACTGACCACTTTCTCTTTGGACCTGAGGATGAAGAACGAAGATGTGATAAAACTGCTAGAGCCCCACAGAATTAGTTAGCAAATAGTGGAAAGAGATCATTGAAGTCAGAAGAGGTAGTTGCTTAACTGAGCCAGTTTTCAGGCCCATCACCAACCTTACCAGTGTCTCTAAATTCAAATGCATTTTTTTTTATCGACCTGTTTTTACTTGGACTCCACCACTTCTCAATGTTAACCTCTTGGCTCTATACCTGAGCCCTTTTTCCTTGTGACTCCCCATTATTTTGCTCTTAGCCCATGTTTAACAGAACTTGACTTGGTTTTCAGACTACCTTTGGTTGGTCCTTCAATCTCCCCTCTTCTGCCATAGCCCCAACCTCTTGGAACTCAATTCTTGTTACTGGGTATCCATTTCAACCCAAGGAGTAGCACATATTCTGTGAATTATTAACAGGACTGAACCAAACGGGCTGGGTTTTTCTCTTTTTCTCTCCTTCCTTCAGTCACTCAGCATTTACTGAACACGTACTATCTGCTGGATATAATGCTAAGCATTAGGGAGAGAGAAGCAGACAAAGATAGGGATGCTTCCTCCTTCATTGGAACTCATAACCTAATGGTTACACAAACAATCCCCAAACAAACATATGAGCAAAACTGTGACAAGTATCAGGAAAGAAAAGAGTAACAAGAACATAGTGCCTGGAGTTCAAGGAGACTTAGTTTCCACTGAAGAAACAGAAAATCCCTGCATGAGCCACAAGTATTTCACTTGTATTTGAAGTTGATAAAATAACACAACCTTCTGAACTCTGACATAATAGTTGAGATTGATATTAAAAAATTAGGCAAGTGAAAGATCACCAAGGACGCAATAATTGTACTTTCCAACGTCTGCTGTTTTTTCAGTTCTTACCACTTTAACTTTTGGTAAAGAAAATAAAAAGACTTTGTAAGGCTTGAACTTTCCATTCTTGCTTACCTTGGCTTACTTACTTAAAATTCTTTAGTAAGAATCTATAGTTCATGTAAAAAATGCTTTTAGGACAAGACAGCTGGCAGTTCTAATAGTATGTTTTTTGGTTAAGATTAAAAATAATTAAAAAGATTTCTAGAAAAATACCATAGTTTATGGTGTCATAGAAGTAAAATGGTCCACAAGTTACCTTCTGTCTCTGCATTTCTATGATTATTTCAATATGCATGCATTTCAAATGATCTTCGTGAAGTTCCATATTAGACTTAAACCAGTGGAGGTGTCATTTCAAGCAGTCTTCCAGCAGCCTGGCTACTGGCTCTGAGGTTACAGATGAGTTGCTTTTTTTGTCCTACATGCAAGTAAACATCAGGAGTTCTCTCATCATTCAAGGGACCATTCATTTTCTGGGGACCAGTGCTTGCTTTTAACCTTGATTCTTGGCTAGCATGAAAATAGCCATGAATAATGCAATTTTATGTTCAGGGTTTAGTTAATGGACAAAGGAGGCAAGAAAATCGATCCTATTTTGGCATACAAGTCATGAAGATCATTTGCAATGTAAAAGGATTTGCATTTCTTAGAAAAAGGAAATACAGTAAAATCTTGGCATAAGGTGGGTGGAATAGAGGTAGGGCAAGAGAGAAAGAAAAATAAAATTGTCTCAATGCCTTAATATTTGCAGGCGGGGAAAGTCAAATTAACTAATTTTGATCCATTTTGAGTTTTAATAGTGAAGATAATTATGAAATCAAGATGCTTTGACTTGATTAACATCCTTTTACTCCCCGGGGTGTCTGGATCAGCACTTTTCGTATGTAGTACCCTCCAAATGAATACCAAATAGGTTATTCATTAAATGAAACAGATTTGATTTCTACATAAATATGTTCATGTGTGATTTCCCTTTTCATTTCAGAAGAGATCAAAGAAAATTCTCTCCCCTACTTTTTTTTTTTTTTGTCAAGAAGAGGGGCAGGGAGCCTTTCTATGTGGAGAGCAATCGCTGGGATTTTTCTAACTTTTTAAAGGGCGGGAGGAATATTTCTCTTTCCTTTGGATGCTCAGCTCAACTGAAGAATGGACTGTGTCCAAGTCTGATGCCCTGTGGAGGAAGCCAGTGCAGAGTGAGAGCAGAGAAGAATGAGAGAGAGGTCTACCACTGCATCCAGTAACATCCAGGGCTAAACTCTGCCCTGCCTGCTCCCAAAGTTTTAGAATACTTCCCTCTTTTTTCTATTTTGAGCAGAAATTTCTCTTACTAGCAAATTTATTGTACTTCTTACTCAAACTTCTGTGCTACCCTAAGACATGAGTGGTTTATTTTGTAATGTAACACGTTAACATTTAAATGTCCCCGTTTTGCATATGGAAGTAAGGAAATACCAACCTATTTGCGTACAGACAGCCATAACCACTGCGTTCGTAGCAGGGAAATTAGACATTTAATCCTGGATATGGCAATTCTTCTTTCAGGATGTGCACTTCAGCTAACATATTATTTGCTAAAATATTAACTAAACTCTTAAGTGCCAGAAGGAGGTGACAGAGGAAAGAATGATAATGAGACACTAAACAACTTAGTGTTGTTTTGAAATACGGGTTCTAGAGTTACAGGAAGCAATCCAAAGTGTGGGTGCAGTCACATGTGCAAAGTGCTTTTGTCACTTTCCTTAGGTTTTATGTTCTTCTAGGATCCCCCTGGCTATTGTCCTACAGAAGGATCCATCCTGTGATGATGATTTGATATGTCAATCTGGCTGAACCATGATGCTCAGATATTTGATCAGACATTATTCTGGCTGCTTCTGTGATGATACTTTTTGGATGAGGTTAAAGCTTAAATCAGTGGACTCTGACTAGATTATCTTCCATAATGTGGGTGGGCCTCATCCAATCAGCTGAAGATCTGAATAGAACAAAAAAACTTAGCTCCTCCAAGCAAGAGGAAATTCTGCTAGCAGATGGCAGTTCTTCCCTGGTACTCTAACCGGCTGGCCTGCCTTGTCAGAGTTTGGACTTGCCACTCTACAATCCTGTGAACCGATTCCTTCAAATAAATCTCTCTCTCTCTCTCTCTCTCTCTCTCTAGAGATCTACAGATCTCCATTCTTTTGGTTCTGTTTCTGCAAAGAACCCTGGCTAATTATAATTATACAGCCTGACCTACTATAGTTAAAATTTTAGAATCAGACTGAAGAAACTCAGGCACACAGAGCCCCTTAAAATTTGCCTCGAATAGGCTGACTTCTTTCTGGTTACGTGGCATTATTGTTCCTTCGTAGAAACTTGAGAAAATACATATTACCTATTTCATGTTATTTTAGGTAAAGTATGTTAAAATTAAAAGAAAGATTTAAACATTGGTTAATCCCAAATATACTTAAAATATTTCAAGTCAGATATACATCTAAGTTTGCTTTTCACATATTTGACAGACATATTTGAAATTCAACAATAAAATATAACATCTCAAACCCTGATATTCTTTAAGTGCCTATGCTAAATCACTGCTTTAGGGAGTCACTCAGTTGGGCTTTTATTCTTGACCTATATATGACATGTAGATGTCCTTTATTCTATGACATATAATCACAAGAAATATTAGCACAGCTGAATCCCAAAGAATGAAACAGTAGCTGTCTTCAATAAGGGAAGTATCTGTTTTCAAAGGTCAAGTCCAGTCCAGGGGTTCCACTTCCTTATTAGCAGCAGAAGAAGACAGAGGGTGATCACACAGCTAAGGGAAGGAGTAAAGGACACAGCCCAGTTAGCAGAAGGCAAGGCAGTTTCCAGAGGTGGTAGGCTGGCCTCTGCCATTTCTGTCTAGACTCTCACAGAACTGCTTGCTCCACAGGGACAGAACTGTGAAATCTCTGGAGTTTGGTGGAAGAGCTTGCTGCCTGCTGTCAAGTTATTCATGAATAAAATGGCATGGCAATTCAGAATCACGAACCATTTAAATTCCCTTGATAACATGTTATGGACTGAGACGCGTCCCTCCAAATTTCATATGCTGCAGCCTTAACCCCCATTGTGGCTGTATTTGGAGATGGGGAGGTCTATTAGGAGGTATAAAAGTTAACTGAGGTCATAGGGTGGAATTCTAATCCTAGAGAGCTGGTGTCCTCATAAGAAAAGGAAGGAACACCAGAGCTCTCTCTCTGCTATGGGAGGACACAGCAAGAAGGCAGCTGTCTGCAAGCCAGGAAGAGAGCTCTCACCAAGAACCAAATTTGCCAGCATCTTGATCTTGGACTTCCAGCCTCCAGAACCGTAAGAAAATTAATTCCTATTGTATAAGCTCCCCAGGCTGCGGTATTTTGTTACAGTAGCCAGAGTAGACTAGTATATAACACTTGAGAGAATTATGTAAATATATATATACACACACACGCACACACACATTTGTTTGCTTGCTCAAAATGTGCACTCTCATTAGACCATGAGTTACGGGAGCAGGGCTTGGTCTGTTCATCACTGAGTACCTCCAGACCGGTACACAACTGGCTTTAAGTACAGACTTGTTAAGTCTGCTGAGTGAATGGATCATTCCAGCTCCTGGCCAAACAGGAGCTAAAGTAATAGTAATAAATAAAGATAATTCTAAAAGACAAACCAGTATGTGGCTTAGAGTCCTATAAACTTTTATGTAAAGTCACATTCTTGGGGAAGATTCTAGCAAATTCAACACTTCTCACTATGAGAAGCTATACTGAACAGAAGGTGAGAAAAATCACTCTTCTCCAGTTGTTGAAAACAAGGGTCCACATGCAGTTTGCATTCTGCAGGACACCTGTCTTTCTCTAGTAATTCTAGCGCTGTATAGCTCTGCCGTTAGGCTCTGCGATCCTCCTGTTACTGAGTCACAGGAAATTAGGCTGCAACCTAGACAAACAGAGCTGAGCTCCCTGGTTCCGTCTCTTTACAACATTTCACTTTGCCGTGACTCATGTTTTTCTACCATTAAACGAGGGCCGATGGTATGTGAAGAGGAATCCTGCAGACGAATGCTTTCCACGTTTTCAAAAACAGCGATGCTGTGTGAGTACTGGTAAGACAGCATCACTGAGTATAGGGCTAAAAAGAGAGCGTAAATGATTGTTTTGCTACGTTTAAGTTCTAACCCATTAATCCGTACACTTTGTTTTTCCGAATCAGACCGTATCTCAGTTGGTGGTAACACAAAGTGAGGCAATATGAACTCTTCAGAATTCAGAAAGGAGTGAGAAGCGGCTTCATGCACTTTTGGGAGAGCTGATTGCATTTCTGAATTTGGTTCCACAAAGACTAGTCCCTGGTGCACTCAGGCCACGCTGTGAGCAGAGGATGAAAGGGAGTGAGGAGGGCGGATCATGAGAGAGAGGGGCCAACAGGCTTGTTTTGGTCTGGCTTTGCCTCTTTTCTCTCCAAGATATCCTAGGGGCCAAAGTTTTAAAGCCCCTCATCTGAATGGGTTTTGTGGCACTTTTCCTGTGGCTTCTTTATTCTAACATCAAGGTAAATTGTCTTAAAAGAAAAGATACTTGGACCATGTTGGGGCCTTTGAACATAATGTTTATGTTTCTAGAGATGGATGAAAAAGATATTAAGAAATAAGACTACAAATAAAAAGTCCTACTGCAGGGACGCATACCCTGGAAAATGGTGCGTAAGCAAAACACCATGGAGGTCTCGACCTTGTGGGGTGCTTTTATCCAGTGGCACTGACCTTAGGCCGTGTGTGTCCTCAGAGTGACTGCTATAGGCTGGACATTCTTACGTGCATCAAGCATTTTTTATGGAATAAATAAAAATGCTTTCTACATGTATGTGTTACTTTAAAAAAAATAGATATTCCTGCTATGTGTTTTCAAAAGATTATATTTGATGTCCCTGAATTCAGAATAGCACTGTTTTTGTTACATACTTCCTCACATAAGAGATCTCAGACCTACAACCACTATCCCAGAGTTGTGTCACAAAATTCTGATGTTAAATGTGGTCCTCATGCAATGTCTGTAATTAAACATCTTCAAGATGATGTCTTTTTCTTTAGATTTTTCTCTAACAATGCCCTTCTTTCATGCATGTTAACTTTTTTTTTTTTTCAGATAATCTCCATCTACTTTTCTTCATTTCCTGAGCTCTCAAAGAGACACCTTTTTCAGCTGACGGCTCTTCTCTCAGCATCTTTTTCCTGTCACAACCACCCCTACACCTTGGGAACTTTGCATGCTTGAGAATCAGGATGGGGGCTGTTTCCCAGGGAAAGAGGAACTGATAGAAGCCGAGGGCTTGAACTTCCAGATTTTCTTCTAGCCAAGAACAAGGAAGAGCAGGGAAGATACTATACGGTACTCCATGAAATAGAAGAAAAGAATTTTTTTTTTTGTAGGGGACATCTTCTAAACAGTACAGCTCATTACCAAGATCAATATAACAAATACTGATTTTACCTTTCGTGTTTTGTGTGGATTTCTCATCCTGGATGACTTCTTAATGTCCACTTCAGTGGTATTTACACATCCAGGCTAGAAATGGAAAACAGAGAGACAAAGGAATCTTTGGGTGTAAAGTTTCTGACCAGGGCACTCACGCTCCAGAACCTGAGCAAGGGCTGTGATGACACAAGCCCTGGCAGCCCTCTGCAGATGGCCCCGCGGCTTTCTCCCAGCAGCGGCCACTGATAAAACGCATCGCACTTCCACTCCTCAAGTTCAAGAGCCTTCAGATACCAGTAGGGTACGTTATGGAAAACGATTTGTCCTTCTGTAACACGGTACAAGTTCCAAAAAATGCAATTTACAATGTATTATAGCTCAATTAAAACGATCCCTTTCCCTTCTACAAAGTTATTACAGATTTCAAAGTGTTCAACATCAGGATATTATTTTAAAGCTTTTCTTTCTGTTCCAGGGCAGTTAACAATTGATTTAGCTTCTGTTCCTTTCAGCCTTGCTCACCCATCCACTTACTAAATGCTGCACACAAACTAAAAGAAGTCATTTGAGGCAATTACCCTGGAATTCCTTCCATTCATTCTCTTCTATAATATTTACTCATTTGTTTCCTACTCAACCTTATTTGCTGGCTATAGATTCTTAATTAAGTAATCCTACCTCATTGTATGTCATGAACGAACTCCCCACCTCAAAAGGCAAGAGGAAGGCTACTGTGGCAGAGGAGAGGGAAATGTACCACAACAGCCTGGAGCCGTGGAAAGTTGTCAGGTTACGTGGAAATTATAGACCATGGTAAAAATTTTGGTTCAGTTCTAAACATAAGTGAAAGTCATTGGAGGATTTTAAACAGGAAAGTGACTTAGAATGAGTTTAGATTTTTAAAAACTCACTCAAGCTTTTTATCCTTCACAAAAGTGGACCCAAATGTAAAAGGCTAAGCTATGAAACTCCTAGAAGATAACATAGGAGAAAATCTAGGTGACACTGAGTTTGGTGATAACTTTTCAGATACAACAGCAAAGGCATAATCCATGAAAGAAATAAATTGATAAGTTGAACTTCATTAAAAGTAAAAACTTCTGCTCTCTGAAAGACATTGTCAAGAGATTTAGAATATAAGTCACAGACTGGGAAAAAGTATTTGCAAAAGACCTTATGTATAAAGGATTGTTATCTAAAATATACAGAGAACTCTTAAAACTCAATGATAAGAAAATGAACCACTCGATTAAAAAAATGGGTAAAATATCTGAACAGACATCTCACTGATGAAGATATACAGATGACAAATAAGCATATAAAAAGATGCTTCACATCACGTGTCATTAGGAAATTCCAAATTAAAACAAAAATGAAACACACTTACACATCTAATAGAAAGACCAAAACCCCAAACACTGGCAATATCAGATGCTGAAGAGAATGTGGAGCAACTGGAACTCTCATTTATTGCTGGTGGGAATGTAAAATGGTACAGCTGCTTTGAAAGATAGTTTGGTTTCTTATAAGCTAATATACTCATATTATATGATCCAGCAATTATATTCCTTCGTATTTATCCAAAAGGTTTGCAAAGTTAGATCCTCACAAAAACCTGCACATGGATATTTACAGAGGCTTTGTTTATAGTTACCAAAACCTGGAAGTAATCAAGATGTCCTTCCCTAGGTGTATGGATAAATAAACTGTAGCACAGATATGCAATGAAATATTATTTAGCACTAAAAAGAAATGAGCTATTAAATACAAAAAGACATGGACAAAACTGAAATACACATTACTTAGTGACAGAAGCCAATCTGAAAAGGCTACATAGTGTATGATTCCAGCTATAAGACATTCTGGAAAAGGCATAACTATGGGGACAGGAAAGCAATCAGTGGTTGCACTGGGCTGGGGAGAGGGAGGGAAGAATAGGTGGAGGACAGAGGATTTTTTAGGCAGTGAAAAAACTCCGTATAGCATGATAATGGTGGATGCATGTTATCATACGTGAGTTCAGTCCCATAGAAGTGCAAGACCAAAGAGTGAGCCCTAATGTAAACTATGGATTCTGGGTGACAATGATGTGTCAGTGTAGGTTCACCAAATATAACAAATGTACCGCTCTGTTGATGTTGATAGTGGAGGAGGCTGTGTGTGCAGGGGGAGGGGAGAAAGGGAGGGGTATGAAAACCACCTGTACTTTCTGTTCACTTTTGCTGTGAACCTAAAACCACTCTAAGAAATAAATTCTATTCATAGAGGGGAGGGTATAGTTCAAGCAGTAGAGTGCATGTTCAGCATGCACAAGGTCCTGGGTTCAATCCCCAGTATCTCCTCCAAATATAAATAAACAAATAAACCTAATTACCACCCCCTCCCAAAAAAGATTCAAAAATTTTTTTTAAGTTAAAAAAAAAGTCTGTTTAAAAAATCAACTCACTCAGGAGTCATGAGTACTTTGGGGATGGGTTATCGGGATAGGGTCAGGGCAAAAGTGGAAGCAAGGACGCCCGTTTCAGGGTTATTGCAATAATCTAGGAAGAGATGATGGTGATGGTGTTAACCCGCCAAAGCACGTGAGTTAAAGTGTAGGAGTTTTAACAAGTCTTATAAAAAGTTAAGATTTTCAGAGTTTATTTCCTGGCTGTGTTTTGGATAGAGTTCGACTTTTGGATATTTGAGGCAGTAAGTATAACACCTGTGACAAATGAAATGTCAACAAGTTCCCATGATGTCTTAGGGAAACTCAGGGCATAAATACTGTACACACGAATTAAGTGGATTAGAGTAGGCGACATCGTTTACTTGGAGTTCTAAGACAGGGGATCACACAAAGAACAGGAGCTGGAAGTTCACTCTGTGCTCTGAGAGGTGGGAAGAAAAGCAAACTGAAGTGAGTGACTGGTGGCATGAAATGCTCCCTTTGACCCTCCCCTTCAACCTACAACCAGTAAAACATTCAAGCACAGCAAAGCTTCCTCCACTGAACATACAAGGACACCAGAGAGTTCCACACATCTGTACATTGGAAAGCTGGGACACATAGAGGAGGCAGAACAAGGAGAAGAGGAGAGGCAGTGCTGATCCCAGCCCCCGACCACTGAGGCTGACGGCAACCCCTGAGAACCTAACAGTAGCAGGGGAGGTGGTGCACAACTTCACGCACACCTGGCCACAGCAGAACCTGCAGCTACAGGGGATCGAGCAGCAGCAGCAGGAAAGCTGGAGACCCCACCTCTCCAGCTGTGGAGGTGCCCAGGACTCTGATCCCCCTCCTCCCTGTGGCAGCAGCCTACAACCCAGGCAGCAACGCCAGTGACAACAGCCACAGCCAGGCACCAGTGACCCTGGGGGCACGAGTAGCAGCAACAATAAGCCCACCAGGGGGCACCTCTGAGCGAGACTGTGGAGGGTGGAAGGTGCCTACTCTCTATAACCAGAGGCAATTCAGGCAAAAGAAACTAAAAACTTGTGCTGTAGTGCCACCTACTGAAAAACCAAAGAAAGACCTCTAATTACTGATATGTTAACTTGTTAGATTCAAGTTAAAAAAAAAAAAGAGCTTTACCTAAAGGAGAAAGGTTTCACTACTTCAAATATGCTGACAGAGGACCAACTCATCAAGCACCATCAAAAACTATGTTAACATAGTATCATAAAAGGAAAATGACAATCCTCCAGAAACCAAAATTAAAGTCACAGAGTACTGTGATCTAACTGACAGAGAATCCTAGTAGCTGTCGTAAAGAAACTCAACGAGTTACAAGAACACTCAGAAAGGCAGTTCAGTGTGCTCAGGAGTAAAATTAATAAACTGAAGCAATACTTTACCAAAGAGACTGAAACTGAAAAAGAACCAAACAGAAATTCTGTAGCTGAAGAACTCAATAAATTAGATGAAGATTACTGGAAACAGAACAAAACATATGGAAGAGAGAATTAGTGAGCTCTAGAAATGAGGGAGGTGAGAGAGAGAACTAAGATCTAAAAAAAAAAATGAAGATATTCTATGAGAGCTATCTGTCTCCAATAGGAAGAGCAACATGAGAATAATGGGCATTCCAGAAGAAGAAGAGGGAGAGAAGGGAACAGGGAGTCTGTTTAAAGAAATAATAGCTGAGAACGTCCCAAATGTGGGAAAGAAACTGGATATACAAGTCCATAAAGCCAAGAGAATACCTAACTATCTCAGCACAAAAAGACTTTCTCCAACACAAAATTATCAAGTCAATGACAAAGAAAAAGAATTTTAAGGGCAACCAGGAAAAAAGGATGGTGACCTACAAAGGAACCCTCATTAGGCTATCAGTAGATTTCTCAGCAGAAACTCTACAGGTCAGGAGAGAGTGGAATGACATACTCAGAATATTGAAAGATTAAAAGCTGTCAGCCAAGAATCCAGTAAAGTTATCCTTCAGATATGAAGTAAAACAAAATCTTTCCCAGACAAACAAAAGCCGAAGGAGTTAATTACCACTAGACCTGGCTTACAAGACATGTTGAAAGGAGATGTAGTCTACTTGAAACAAAAGGTAAAAGTTCACAAACATTGTGTAAGTTAATAAAGAGAATCAGAAAATTGTAATTCTATATCAGAATAGGTTGTTGAACACGTAATTAAGCATTAAAGGTTAAAGGGAAAAAAGTAGTGAAAATAACTATTGCTATTTCAATTTCACAAAATAAAAAGGGCTAATTTGAGACAATAAAAACATAAGAGGATGATGAAGAGAATGGAACCCATATAGGCAAATGAAGAGAAGATGGTATCAGAAGAAAAAGGACAATTTTATTAATGAGATGTTTTATACAAACCTCATGATAACCACAAAACATAAATCTAGAGCAGAAACATGATACGTTAAAAAAAAAAACTGAGAAAAAAAATCACAAAAAAAAAAAAAACTACCAAATGAAAATGGCAGACCAAAATGCAACACAGGGAAAAAGACACAACAGAAATAAAGAGCAACCAGAAAACGAAAGCTAAAATGGCAGCACTAAGTCCTCCTACATCAGTCACCCAAAACGTAAATGGATGAATTCACCAATCAAAAAACAGAGTGGTGGAATGGCTTAAAAAAATTAGACTCAACTATATGCTGCCTCCAGGAGCTCCATCTCAGTTCTAAAGACAAACACAGGCTCAAAGTGAAGGACGGATGATAAGCAAGCAAACGGCAGCCAAAAGAAAGGTGTGGCCATACTGATCAGACAGAAAACAAAACTGGATGGTATATAATAACAAAGGGGACAACTCATCAAGAAGACGTAAAGGTTATTAATATTTACGAACTTAACAAAGGAGCACCAAAATATATAAAGCAGTCATTAACAGACCTCAAGGGGGACACTGACAGCAACACAGTAATATTAGGGAACTTTAACACCCTACTTTCACCAGTGGGTAGATCATTCAGATGGAAAGTCAACAAAGAAACAATGGCCTGAAATGAAACATTAGATCAGATGCGCTTTATAGATTTATACACAACATTCCATCTGAACGCAGCAGGATACATGTTCTTCTCAAACGCACATGGAATATTCTCAAGGATAGACCATATGTTGGGACAGAAAACAAACTCAATAAATTTAAAAAGACTGAATTTTGACATTCGTAGGTAACTATTTACTTACTCCTCTCCCAACAACCAAAGAATTAAAATGGCCCTTTGGACCTCGGATGGGAAGACTGTATGTAAATATATGGTCATGATACTACCTTTTAAAAATTATTTGCAAACGTGATAGGTAAACATACAAATGTATTCCATTACATTTTCATTTCTTTGTCATTTTCTCATTGATTCATGAGTTCTATATATAACAAAAGATTACTCTTTTTCCTATATATAATGCCGTATCATTCATCTGTTTTTCTGTATTTTGAGGTCTGCATCACTTTTGAAACTAAACATTAAAGAGATTGAGTTGATGGTTTTGTGCGATTAAAAAAAAAGTCAGGAGTAACTTAAGTTGAATCATGAATACAAGTTAGTGAAAATAATAAATTGAATATCAAAATTATGGTTAAAATAATGGAGTATTAACACTGTGGAAGATAATTTAACATCAGTATATAATGAAATTCCCCAGTCTCATATAATAGATACTGATACAGTAATGAGAATAAACAAACAACGACTACATGCAATAATATGAAAAATCTCAAGAGAAGATGTCAAATATAAAAAGAGTGATATTGATAAAGGTCAGTGATAAAGACTTAGACAAAGATTAAAAGCAGGCAAACTTATCTATGGTATGAGAAGTTACCACTGACCTAGGGAATAGTGGCTGGAATGGTTATTAGCAGGACTCTGGGATCCTGGTGACTTGGCTGTGTTCAGTTTGTGAAAATTCATTGTGCACTCAGGCTATGTGTAATCTTCTGTATGTATGTTACACTTTCTTAAAAAATTATTTTTATTGAAATAGAGTTGACATGTAACATTATATTCATTTCAGGTGTACAACATAATGATTCAATATTTGTATATATTGCAAAATGATCACCACACGAAGTCTAATTAACATTCATCACCACACAGTTATGTTTTTCTTGTGATGAGCATTTTTTAGATCTACTGTCTTAGCAACTTTCAAATACACACTTCAGTACTATTACCAATAGTCAACATGCTGTATATTTCATCCCCAGGACTTGTACTTTATAACTGAAAGTTTATACCTTTTGACCAACAGTGTGCATTTTACCTGCGCTGAACCCCCTACCTCTAGCAACCACCAATCTATTCTGCATCTGAGTTTGTTTTTCAGATTATACATATAAGTGACATCATATGGTATTTGTCTTTCTCTGACTTATTTCACTTAGAATAATGCCCTCAAGTTCCATCCATGTTGTCACAATGGCAAGATTTCATGCTTTTTTATGGCTGAATAATATTTCATCATATTATGTATACACATACTTAACCTACATACATACATGCAGGCATACCTCATTTTATTGCACTTCTCTTTATTGTGCTTTGCAGATTGCTTTTAAAAAAACAAACAAACAAACTGAAAGGGTCTGTGGTAACCCTGCATCAAGCAAGTCTATTAGCATCATGTTTTTCCAGCAGCATTTGTTCACTTTGTGTCTCTGAGTCATATTTTGGTAATTCTCACAATATTTCATACTTCTCATTATTATTATATAATGTTACAGTGATCTGTGATCAGTGATCATTAGTGTTACTACTAGGACTTGCTGAAGGCAAGAATCTTTAGCAATAAAGATTCTGGTTAGAATCTTTTAGCAATAAAGTATTTTAAAATTAAGGTATGTACATTGTTTTATAGAAATAATGCTATTGCTCACTTAATGGACTACAGTAACATGTAAAACCAACTTTTATATACACTGGTAAGGCAAAAAAAAATTGTATGACTCACTTGTATTGTGAAACTCACTTTATTGCAGTGGTCTGGAACCAGACTGAACCTACAATATCCCTAAGGCATGCCTGTATCTCACATTCTTTATTCACTCATCCATCAATGGACACAGATTGCATCCATGTCTTCTTGGCTATTGTAAATAATGCTGTGTTGAACATAAGGGTGCGTATATCTTTTTAAGTTAGCATTTTCATTTCCTTTGGTAAAATGCCCAGAAGTGGAAATGCTGAATCATATGGCAGTTCTCGTTTTTAACTTTCTGTGAAACCGCCATACTGATCTCCATACTTGCTGCACCCATTTGCATTCCCACCAGCAGTGCACAAGAATTCCCTTTGCTCCACATCTTCACCAACACTTGTTATTTCTTGTCTTTGTAGAACAGTCATTCTAAACAGTGTGACATACTAACTCATGGTTTTTGGTTTGCATTTCTAGTTTGTATGCTATACTTCAATAAGATTTTTAAAAAGACCCATGCTTTGAACTAATACCAGGCATATTCCCCACCCCCAGTCCCTCCAAAACATGCCAGGGTGGTACCTGTCATAGTATTTCTGCAAGAATATTTATAATTGTGGTCTTGCGCTTTATAGTTTGTGCTATAAATAATGTTCTCCCATAGTACTGTCTCAAAGCATAAGCCTAGAGCTCCCATCAGGTCACTGAATTTTCAAGGTGAGAGGAAAAGTGATTCATTCTCTGTGGCCCACTCCACCTCGCCTTGCACACCTCTGAATGTGGCCAGAATTAAACTGGCCTAGATTCCCTGAACTGCAAGCTGTTTAGATCAACTTTCAAAGTCAGTGTTCATGAGCTCATTGGTGGGCATCCTTTCACAACACATACATACGTAAAATCATCACACTGTACAATTTAAGTATCTTTCAATGTAGTTTGTCAATTATACCTCAGTAAAATTCAGGTAAATTTCAGGCAAAGATACCTGAAAAAATGTAACAACCAAAGCAAAAACAAAGTCAGTGCAAAGGATGTAAGCTGGCTCCCTGTGGGGCTGTGTGGGGCAAGTCTGGTTGTTCATCACCCCCGAACCTAGAACATCAACACTCTTCAATTTTGAAAGGCCAGTCCCCTAGAATTCTTTTTTCCCTCCACGATCATTTTATTTATTTTACTATAAATCCAGAAAAACACGCAGATAGTAAGCCATGCAAAACCACTTTGTTGCAGTCTTCTTCAAGTGTATGAAAGCATCAAGCACCCCAGAAGCCAAGAGTGAGTCACCAAGTGATGCCATGTTAGAAAAATGCAGTTGTATAAGTTCAATGTTATACTATTAACCCCTAGTCACAAAACCCCTTACACAAAAAGACTGCGGGAAGAGCGATGGAGTTACCACATCCTTCCTCCACTTCCCAGAGGCTGAGATTACGAAGTCGAGACAGCGCTGGTGCTTACCACGGGTCTGTGCACATCCCAGAACGCTCTCTCCTGACTATCAAGGATCTTTCTTTCGATCTTATCTCTCTTCTTGTCCACTCTGTCAACATCACAGCAATGAATAATAAGTGGTGTTAATTGTCGTGCCTCTCTGGATAAAAGGTCACAACTTGCACAAATCTTCCAAGAGACTCACAAGGACTCACTTTGCTTGTGCTTCTGCCTGCATGAAGATGAACTCCCACTTCCGGGCAAATGCTCTCTGCAGCCTGGCCAGACTCTCCTGAAAGACACACCAAGGTGAAGACGTTCTGGCGCTCATCTTTCCTTCTCCCTTCTAGGTTATCTACCATATGTACTTATCCAGAAAAAACATTCCAGAATTTCTACAGGAGTAAATGTGCTCTGCATGATAAGTCATGCTCACTGAATGCAGCTAATCCTCATATTAATAGTCATAGAGGACACAGGAAAACCTATCATAAATATTAATATTAGAGGATACAAATAAAATCCAAAATGCTCAAATACGTATACACAGAAGAAAGTGCTCAAGACTAATCCACTGGATTTTTCTGTGCTCACTTTACTGAGGAGCATGAAGGCAATACATTTCTACTACCGATTTAGTCAGTCTATCCAGTTCCCAAAGGTAATGTAAACCCTTGGCCCGCTACTACCCATCTGTAGACAGTGCTTCAAATTTGGTATATCAGAACATAGCAACCATCTCAACACATTCCATGTGATTAATTTAATCTGCGGATGGTGACCAACCTACAGGTTTCGCAAAATTCATTTTCCCAGTGTAAACGCTCTTTAATTCTCTAAGTTTGGATACCTTCACTATACACAGTATATATAGAAAGTTTCTATATTTAAGTCAATTTTAGTAAATAAGATAGGCTTCCCCTTTCTCCTCTGAGTTTGTGCATTTAGAATTTCACCATCCTCAGTGTGAATTATGAGGGGAAGCAAGCAAGTCAGGGATGTAGTAAATCATTATGCTGCCTTTCCCTAAAAATCTGACCCCTAGATCCATGAATGTAGAGTTAAGAGTGCCCAGAAATGACCGTAGGCCTTATTCCTGCTCCTTTTACGTCTTTCTTTGTCAGGGAGCCCCTGGTGCTCACAGCTTCATAGTCGGCTAGCTCCAGCCTTGCCTTGTTCTGCATTGTTCTTTTGCAGAGGTAAACCGCTGAAAAGGAAAAAAAATCAATCATTCCTTGCCTGCTTATTTACACTGAGGCACTAAAAATAAAATGGAGCAGTATAAATCAAGATATATTGGTCTTTGTCACTTTTTCCCCAAGCTGCAATTTTCTATTTTTTATTAATTTATTTTTGGTCAAAAATAAATCATCCATAACATCATTACCGAAATTCAAACACCACAGTACATTTAAAATGTGTTATAAGAAAACTGGCATGTTTAGAAACTTGGAAATGATTTCCCTTATTTTATTAAGTGGCTGTCACAATGTTAGCTTCCTCAAAATATAAGGAGAAAAAAATAAGACATCAAATGAACTTACAAATCTCGATATACAAATAGCACCATTTTTAAAAAAAGAATTGGCACATTCAATTATTTCCATATCCTCCTGGCAATGTCAACTGAAAGAATCTATAAATGCACACTGAAGGCTTCTTGGCATCTTCTTGGCTTCATTCCACAAGGGCCAATCATCAGTCAATCATTTTGTCACTAGGAGAGAGGACAGTGTAATGGCTGCCCTAACTACAAGACGGCTACCTTTTAACTCCATTTTCCTTAAGGACTCAGTCTCCTCCATTGCCAGGGCAAGTCCATCTGGGCAGCAGATTTACAGGATGAACGACAGATGGAGAGAGAATGTTGACAGCACTACTGCCATCAAGCAGCCAAATTTCTCCAGTTATTTCAGGAATATTAGTGGCAATAACAATACACCAAGCACCTCCTGGTACAGTCCCAATTCCCAGAATATTTTTGTCATTTTCCTATAATATATGACATTTGAGTCTCATAAAATTCAAGATAAACTATTCTAGATGCTGAATAAATCCACTGGATAAAGACTATCAAATATTACTTTTCGTATGGCTAGCTCTGGGGGATGCTTTTTAAATACCACCTTTTCACTAAGCTGTACCACCCTCCACTTTTGCTAATGAAATCCAGCTGATATCAGTGAGGAACTAAATTACACAAAAAAATCTGAGGCCACTGAAAACTTATGCTATTTATTCAATTTCTGCCCTCTCAGATTGATTTCCTGTATGAAAGTCAAGGCAAAGGAGAGAGACAAACATGTAATGATGCTAACATTACAAACACTAAAAACCTGGGATATGATTTTAGACTATGGTAATTTTATTTTTCTATTAATATAAATGATTTTCAAATAGAGATTTTCAAAGTTACTAATTTTTAAAATTATTAATTTTCAAAATTCGTAAAAGTCAAACTTCAAAAACAAAAAGGACATGAAGTGTTAATTTCCTAATTGGCCACAATTTACTGTAGAAATTATGTTGGGGAAGAAACTCTTACTGTAGAGGCCACTGTGGTTTTAATGATATATCTGAAATGTTCTCAGCAGTTGGTAAAGTAAATTGTAGTGTATGTGCAATACTCCTGAGGGTATCTCTTCGTGAGAGAAAGACTGAATTTTCTTTAATTATCTGATTAAATAATTTCAGCTTTCTTACAGAAATTCCTTTAATCAAATTTCAAGCTGCAGCTAAGCGCTCCATCAGTCAGCCCTCCTTCATATCTCATCTCTCTTCCTGTGTCAGTCTCTACTTGCTTTATTGTGGTCATCTAATCTTTGTTCTTTCCAAAATCATATTTCTAACCTCATTAGGTAAACTAACGTATAAAGCAGGAGCAGGGTAATTTTTTTAGATGAACGTTCACTAAGAATTTACACATTCTTTATTAGAGGTAGGTGCAATTTGCTTTTATTGTCTAGGAAAGAAAATGAAGGCACGGCTAGGCAGTGCCAGGGACAGAGTAGCTGTTTCACATGTTTTTATTGAACGAGTGAATGAACAAATAAATGAATGAGCAGGATATTTTCAGAAGGAGCTACCGAGAAGTCAAATCAATTCAAGTAATTTCTACTAGACCCTTTCAAAAAGAAAAATGAGAGAAAAGGTGAAGGCTGGGTTGGCCGTGTGGGGAACACTCCGAAGATTGTTGAAGGTAGAGCAACGACCGTCATGGCTGGAATGGCAGCAGTCTCGCCAATCTAGTCTAGACACAGTCCAGAACGCTGACAGGAACAGGTGGTACTTTTATGCTTTATCAGTACAGAGTATCAGCATTGGGCAGCATATGGATGAGGAAGGAAGATCAAGCAGATGAAAAAGAGTTTCTAGGAAATTTCCCAGTTTATCAAAGATTGAAAAAAAATGAGAGAACTTAGGCATAGTCAAAACTACGGCTCAGGCCAAGTGTTTCTGTACCTACCCCTAATTATTCAGGCACCAAATGTGCCCTGTATGATCTTATGTACAAACTTAGGCCCAAATACAAAGTATGAATCGTTTTTAATATAACCCTTGAATTTGTTTCTCAGTGCCAAAATACTCAAAATAATGAATGGGAAAAAAAAAGCCACTTCTGGGGTTCTACTTAAGATGTTTTCCATTATCAAGGGTTTAACTTCAATTTCAAATTTAAATCTATCTCTCTGCAGCAGTTCTCTGGGAGACTGCAATGAGACAATTTCGAGGACTTAGTGGGTCAACAAACAAGTAGTTTAATAGGAAGCTCTGCCACTAAATGGAAGAAAGTTTGAGAGGCCCTGAAGTGCTATGCTGATTAAAACAAGAAAAGTGTAGTAAAAGCAGAGAACTCGGCCTAAATATAACTTAGAATTTAGATGGAAAACTCAAAGTTTCTGGATCACACATCTAACTGAATAGAAAGTGAAATCTGGTATTAGTTTTTCCATTTAATTTCACAAACTCTGTAAGACAGCGTAAGTAGCTTGTTCAGCAAACGCTGATGTTCATGGCAAAAGTGTACAGAGCTGTATCCCAGAGGTCAGAGAGTAAATCACTGAGATCCTAATAACTAAATACGGACAGGACACAAACATAATTCATAGAGACTAGACATACAATTGCCAAATAAATATTTGGAAAACATCCACCTTACAACCAAAGTAATCCACATGTAACTTATACTGTCACAATGCAACTCTTTGTTTTTATCTTTTAAAGACTATTTGTGGGGTGATGACAAAAACTCAGCAACTTCCACACTCCTGTTTGTCACTCTCAGGAAATTCAAAGAGTCCCAGCTTATTAATAAGAATGTCCAGTAGTGGCTGAAACTCCAAGCTTGGTTTAAGGTCGTGACGTCCTCCCCTTCCCCCAGCTTCCGCGGGTGAAAGGAGTGTGAGTGGCTTCTTTCTCCACCTTGTTCTTCTGTGCCCCCCGCCAAGTATTGCTAACCAAAGCTTCTAGTCCTCTAGGGGTGAGTAGAGGAAAGAAACAGAGGAAAGGTGACTTCTGACATTCTTACCTGACTGATACGACTGTGATGATCCAGTGCTGCCATTCTCTGGACTTAGCCAGGGTTTAAGGTTTATTGTATTTCTCATGGTACTTTTGTGGACGCTTTGGAGAAAGTCTGCCTCCCCTGCGAGATGTCCTGTGGGGAGCTCTCACCTGCCGTGCCCGTGTTGGGGTTGACAAATGCCACAGCCCTTGAACTGTACCTCCAGCCTCTCTGTGCAATGTAGTTTGCCCCTTCAGGCTGCCTCTAGGACAGGACTGTCTCTCGCATATGGCTTAAAACATTCATGTACTCCTCACCCTGAAAGTAGGCTTTGCCATTTAGCCGCCTCCCTTTCAACGCCCAGTCCGTAGCTAGACAGTTTGTCTCTTACTCTCTGAAATTTTGAGTCTGGAAGTCCACGGTCAGTGTGTGTCCAGGGGTAGGTGACTCTTGTCAAGCACTCTCAGGAGCCCCTGGAAATCTCTGTCGCTGGGCCTGAGGTGGAGGCACTCCCCCCCCTGCTCCTCCCACTCGGTCTGGTGGGAGCAATGACTCCCAACATCCACACAGCCGCAAAATCAGCCTCAAGCCAATGTCTTAGCCTTAAATAACCTCAATGTGGGTTGCCGGCAACTCCTGTGATTGATACTCTGCGTGTCTGGGTAGCACCACACTTTCATGTCTGGTCTCGATCCACTTCACGCTATAGCTGACTTTCCCTTTTAACATCCTGTTACAAAAATCACTCTACTCATCAACACAGCAAAGATAGCACAGAGTGAGAATAAGCTATCTTGGCAACAGAAGAGCGAAACAGCACAGCTGGTGAGCTGTGTAAACAGGGAATAGCTTCTTGGAAAGTTTTGACAATGAGTAATAAAGCCTTAAAACACTCATGGACACTGTTCCAATACTTCCTCTTTTAAGATCAGAACCCAAGGAGATAACACAAAAGGCAGAGACTTAAGCATCCACGACGTGGAATACAGGAACACAGTGGGGAACGGGCAAAGAAATCATGCATATTTCCTCAGTGAGATAAAACATTGCCATTCAAAATGATGTGCACAAAGTGTTTTACCTCAAAGCGGAAATAATTTACGTTTTAAAATCCTTAATCCCTCATTGTAAAAGTTCTTCTAAGCCCTGGGGACACATTGATAAACACAGTGAACCATCACTGCCTTTACCTTACACGGTTCTGGTCTAGAGTGGGACAGACAATGAGCAGCGCTATGAATGCTGTAATCACAACAACCAATGTTTACTGAACGCTTTCCGTGTGCCAGGAACTATTCAAACATCTCACGTGCATCATCTTCCTTACCCTCCATAGTAACACGAACAAGCAGGTGCTATTAATGTTCCCAGTTTGCAGAAGAGCCATTGTAGGTAGGATACAAATGAGCAAATGAGCAATTCTTGGTTGAGGCAAGAGTCAAAGTCAAGCATTAGACAAAAGAACCCACTTGGTTAATTACAAGGCTGTGATAGAGAGCTATTAGGGAAATTCAGTCCTTTAATTCTACAGCTCCCCTGAATATTTTGAAATTACTTCCACCGGAAAAGGTAGACTCTTCCTATTTTGAAAATTCCATTGTCATTTTCCTCCCTGAGAGCATCGTTTTGAAGTGTGATTTTTGTTATCAAACATAGTAGATAAATGAGTTTCTCATAACTGGTAATTATTATTATCAGCTATT